CCCATGATGATCATGGACTAACCCTCTGAAACTGTAAGCCCCAATCAAATTCTTTATTTTATAAATTGCCTTGATCATGGGATCTCTAAGACAACACCAACACCCTTGTCACATCTCCACAGCAAGTAAAGTGTGTGCTCTGCCCATGGCATCGGGTTCAACCACACAATGTGCTTAAACCATGCACTGTGGATACAGGTTTTAAGAGCAGAAGTTTAAAGTATGATAGTGCTGAGTGCTTGTCTTCCTTTCTCTCTGCCATCACTGTGAGAAGAACAAACCACAGCTAAACTATTTGTTAAAACAACGAGAAATTTTAACCTACACCTGCAATTTGGACCCAAGTCCAGCCAACCCAAAAATGACAGCAACCAGTACACATGCAACCTACAAGACATGTGACCAAAATTAAATAATGGTTGTTTCCAGCCATGCAGATGGAGGTGGCTTGTTACACATCAATACTCTGGTGGTAGCTGACAGATACACTAGGCAACTACTCCCCCCATTTTCTCTGTCTCAGGATAATTTACTGTAGCCTGGAAATAGGGTCCATTTTTCTCATTTATTAGAACGGCTTGCAAGTTGTAGTCCTAGAAGTAAAAAGTTAGCCTTCTCCTAAGCAGAAAGGCCAAGAATCTGGTGATTGATTAATCCATGATACTGGATGCCTGAGCAGTACCAATCTGATGCTGAATTCTAGGAACAGGAGTTCTCTAGGAGGATAAATGTTGGTCCTCAGTCTATGCTGGATTCCTAAAGAGGAAGGTTCTAAACCAGTGAAGAAATGCCTGGGGCACAGGATAGACTAACTTGCCAGCAAGAGTGAGGGCAAGCATACAAAAAGCAAAACTCCCTTCTTCCATGTCCTTTTATGTGAGCTGCCACCAGGAGGGTTTTAGTTGACTGCAGTAGTCAAGCTGACAGCAAGATTAACACCTGGGTTCTTCTGGACATCATGCTTGCTTGGCAAGCACTCTAACCACTGAGCAATCTCCAGGCCCCCTGCTTTATTCTTTCCTCAATTGAAAGATACAGACCGACTGAAGAAAGTGAAGTCCCAACAACATGCTGCCCACAGGAAACTCACACACAAGTGAAGTCCTACACAGACCAATAAGGAAAAGATAGAAAAAGATACTTTGTTCAAATAGAAACTAATTGTGTGCAAAAGCAGTGTGCACACACCCCCATGTCTAAAAAATGCATGTAAAAATAAAATTAAATTAAGGCAGCACATGAACTTTTGTCTACTCGGTAAATGAAACTGCAGTAATAAGGGCTCTAGAGTGAGAGCCCTTGATTCAAAATAATAAAGTGGAGAGCAATTGAGAAAAACAACCAATGTCTCATTACACACACACACACACACACACACACACACACACACACACACACACCCATAAATGTGCACAGTGTGTGCAGACACACATGTAACATAAAACCAAAAAATGGTTAAGCTTCAAATAAAGGAAAAGATGTCAATGTGCGAGTATAACACAAAGAAAGAAGACAGAGCGTAGGGTGGTGTCTGCAACAGATCAAAGACTAGCGTCTGAGTACTGAGTAGCTACCCACAGAGAGGTCTGCTTAGAACCTGGAAAGCAATGGCTCATTAGCAGAGCTAAGGAGTGGCTTCCAAGGTTGGCACTCTCAATTGAGATGCAAGAAGTTGACTGACAAAAGTCTTGCATGTGTGAGACAAGTGCCTGTCCTGTTTAGTGTGTTTTAGTATTTTGTATGCAAGTGTGTGTGTGCACCTATGTGTACCATGTCGGCAGAGGTTAGAGGAAGGTATCAGATGCTCTGGCACTAGAGCAACAGACGGTTGTGAATCACCATGTGGTTGCTGGAAACAGAGCCTGGGTCCTCTGCAAGAGCAACAGCTGCTTTTAACCAATGAGCCATCTTATCAGGCCCTGTCCTAACGAGTTTTTATCGTCATCTCAATACAACCTACAGTCACCTGGCAAGAAAGAACCTTAACTGAAGAATTGCTCAGATTAGATTGACTTGGTGCCAATGTCTGAAAAAGATTCTGTTGATTGATGCGGGGGAGAGGGGGGGGCCCGGCGGCGTCCCAGGCTACTATTGGCAGCACCATCCCTAGGCAGATGGCCCTGGGCTGAAGAAGGCTGGCTGAGGAAGCCAGAGAGTGGCCCAGCATGATTCCTGTCTCCAGGTTCTTGCTTGAGATCATGCTCCGACTTCCCTCAAGTGGGACCCAGAAATGCAAGCCAAAATACACCCTCTCCTCCCCAAGTTGCTTAGGTCAGAGTGCGGTAGGTACCATGGCACAGAGAAGTAACTGTCACGGGCCTTATTACCCAGCCACGCCCCAGCCCCACAGCTTCCTAAAAACACAATTCAAGTGATTCTTGTACACACCAAGCTGCTCCAAGCCTACTCATCCAAACAGAGACTGACAAAAAGTCCCCACCACCAGACTGGCCAGCACCAGCACCTCGATAACACACCGGCTGAGTGTGGAATAACCTGGAGAAGCAGAGAATCTAGGGGGCTTAGACACACATGACCCTTTGACACTCTGATTTCACTTTTAGTCATTTATTCCACAGAGATTCCAGCCAAATTCCACCTTGATTATGTTCAGCGGTTGCATATCACGCATCTATCCTGTGCCAGATGCTGAAAAAGGTTTGGAGCCCATGAAAGACACGTGGCACAGCCGTCTCGGCATTGCTTCACAGTCCGCCTGGCATGTCCTGGCATGGCATCACTTCACAGTCCGCCTGGCATGGCCTGGCACGGCCTGGCACGGCATCGCTTCACAGTCTGCCCGGCACGGCCGTCCCGGCATCTCTCTGCAGTCTAGTAAGCTGAGTGAAATTGAATTTAGGTATTTCATACAATTAGTGAGAGTCACAAGGTTCAGAAAGAGGAGTGAGGCTCCCAGCAAGTGGCTGAGCAGAGCCTTGAACCGATGTCTGCCTAACTCACAAAAAAGAAAACTCAGGCTGGTATAGGTTAGATATTACCATGGAAGAGTCCATTGGCCAGAAGACAGAAACTAGTTCCCCAAACCCCAGGGAACCATCTCAGTGTCCAGTTGGTAGTAAAGGAAACTGTATTAGATGTTTCTGATAGATGGTACACTTTTACGGCCTGTTTGTCTGTCTAGGTACACATATGTAGGTTCTGAATGAGAAATGTCCCCCACAGGCTCATGTGTTTGAACAGCTAGTCCCACTTGGTGGCGCTGTTTGGGGAGGTCATGGAATCTTCATGGGGGAAGCCTGCTGGAGGAAGCAGTCACTGAAGGCAGGCTTTGGGGGTGTATACCTCCCCCCACTTCCTGCTCAATCTCTCACGTGACCAGGCAGCTTCCTGCTCTGGCAGCCATATCATGTCTTCCCCATTATCATAGACTCTGTCCCTCAGGAACCATGAGCCAAAATGAGCTTTTTCTTCCTCAGGTTGCTCTTGGTCATGGCATTTTTATCACAGTAACAGAAAAACGACTATATATATTTAACGCAAGGTGATGTTTCTAAAAATACTCCATTACAAGGCTGGAGCTAGGAGCCACTGATGGACAGTTCTTTTGCTCTTTTGCACTTGAAGAGAGCCCAAGTCGGAATAACAGCTACATGAGAAGAAAGGTCTGTGTTTATTTGTAACTCCTCCCCATCCCACCCCAAAAACATCCCCTAGGAGAAGCACAGTAAGCCAGGCCATTTCTTAAGGCCATGGTTAGGTAGACACGGCTCTACACCCATTGTTTTGAAATTCTAAATGATTGTCTTTGCATTTGTGCCTTTTAAAGAAGTATTTTTATTATAATTTTAAATTACGTGTGTGCACACATGTGCCAAACCGTGCATGTGAGTGCAGTACCCACAGAGGCCAGAAGAGGTCACTGGATTCTCCTTAAGCTGGAGTTCCAGGCAATGGTGAGCTAGCTGCCTGGTGTGGGTGTTGAGAACCCAGCTCAAGTCCTCTGCAAAAGCAGTATGTGTTCCTAACAACTGAGCCATCCCTCCAGCCCCTGTGAGGAGTTCAGATAGAGCAACAGAGGGCAATGCTGGGGCCTTGGGTCTGGACTCTCATACAGTCTTACCAGAAGGGCTTAGTAGATGCACATTTGGGGGTGGGGGCGGAGGCACCATGGCACCACCTGACAGGTGGATGAGCAAGAGTCTCTAGCCCACCCTCATCCAAGTGTGTTCCACACAGAGGCTGCCACTCCACTGGGAAGGGCTCCCACACTGCCGTAGGTCAGGGCTGTGGCCTATAGAAAGGACAGATGGGCCGGGCGGTGGTGGCGCACGCCTTTAATCCCAGCACTCGGGAGGCAGAGCCAGGTGGATCTCTGTGAGTTCGAGGCCAGCCTGGGCTACCAA